CAAGATGGCCCTCCTAACTGCACTGTCTAACCTGCTGCCTGAGCAGCAGGCAGCTCATCCTCCACACGAGGTCATCAGAATGAAAATGGGATTAGAGAGAAGCAGAGCAGCCTGGGTACTGTGCAGTTTCTGCTGCCTTTCTCCAACACTCTGCCCATCTGATCGCTGGGACACTACAGACAGTGCCTAAGCCATAGGATGTTGCTCAGATGTGTGCCAAATGATCTGATCTCTTGTGCAAATGTGGCCAGCACCTGTTTATCCTCGGCCTCACTCCTGCTACCTGGGCCTCATCTTCCCCAGGAGTTACCATGCCTTGGCCAGAACAGGAAGAGAGTGTTGCAGAGTCCTGGAGAGGTGTCCAGCAAAGAGCAGGTCCCCTGTGGCCCAAGGGTCCTGAAGGTTGTGGTCTTGTTGAACTAGAGCAAGGAAGTTGATCACCTTCATCACAGGGGACACCACAAGCTGCATGCTGTGTCTGAGGTCACACAGCTGCTCTGAGTTAGTCCCCCATGCTACCCACGGCAGACATGAAGCCGTGACACTTAGCCTGAACCTCACACTCATGGCAGCTCAAATGGTAGAGCTGCCCTGGCAGTGAGCAGATGCCAGCCTCCAGGAGGCAGCAGGACCACCACCCTCACCAAAGCTGCCCAGTCCCCAAAGTCTGAGAGGAAGGGGCTGTCCAGGCCAATCCTAGGACATCAGCCTGCTTGTCTTAGTCAGAATTTGTATTCCTGCATAAGACATCCTGATCAAAAAGCAAGTTGGGGAGAAAAGGGTTTATTCAGCTTAAACTCCCACATAGTTGTTCATCACCAGAGGAAATCAGGACAGGAACTCACACACGGCAGGAACCTGGAGGCAGCAGCTGATGCAGAGGCCATGGAGGGGTGCTGCTTACTGGCTTGCTCCCCATGGCTTTCTCAGTCTGCTTTCTTATAGAACCCAGGACCACCAGCCCAGGCATGGCATCACTCACAATGGGCTGGGCTCTCCCCCCTTGATCACTAATTGAAAAACTGCCTTACAGCTGGATCTCATGGAGACATTTCCTCAAAGGGGGTTCCTTTCTCAGTGATAACTGCAGCTTGTGTCAAGTTGACACACAAAACCAGCCAGTACAGTGTTCCTGAACTCTGTGCTGTGATACTGAGCTCCTGCAGAGAGGCAACAGAGAGAAATGCTGTTTCTCCAGATGATGACACAGTGCTGCAAGACTGATGGGGGAAGGGTCAAGGGCAGCTAGCACAGAGGAGTTGTCATCCCTACGAGGCTATGTCAGTGGGGACAATTCCAGGACATGGATGTCGTCCCATGGCATTAATGAGCAACATTCTCATCCAAGCAACGTGTGTCTGTGGTAAGGAAGGCACCCACTGTGTCCTTTTGCTAGTCAGTGAGCCACTCCTTCCACCCGTGAGCCCTTGGCAGTACCTGGCCAGCTGGATGGAACTGAACAGGTGAAATTACATCTTGTCCTGCTGAAAGCAATGAGACCATCTGAAAAGGATTAGAGAACCCAGCCCCCTCACTGCAAGGCTTACCATAGTGTTGGAAAAGCAGC